AAGCTCAACCTTCAGTTTCCTCGAGGCTCCTTGCCCAGAACGTCCACATTTGAAACTCCCAACACGGAGCCCCATTTCAAGAATAACCAGGAGGGAAAATGGTGGCTTCACATAAGCATGCCACGAAGAAAAACCCATTTCTCAAGATGGGCTCTGGCCACTCAGACCCTCACCTCCCCTGCCAGGATGGAATGTTCCAGAGTCCCATTAGTGCCAAAGGCAAATTAAAACACACCCTGTAAAAATGTCTCTGCTGTCTCCAAAGTATTTATTTTTCTGAATGTGGGGAAGGAAAGTTTAATTAAGATGCCCTCAGGCGGGTACAAGGGGCAAGGTGGGAGCAGGGAGTGTGGTTCCTCCGCAGCCTGGGTTCGGACGAGAGCCTTCAGCAAAGCTTTGCTTCCGAGGCTCAGAGGAAGGGGCAGAGGGGATGGGCCCAGCTCTGCTTTTGTCCTGTCCTCAGGGCCTGGGCTTGGGCAGCACCGCCTGGTGACACACAGCGCCGGGCTCTGAGGCTGTTTGTTACGCAGCGTTACTGTGGCCGTTGGTGACTGCTACAGAGACACTGTGCTGTGGGCAGGGTTCAGCCTGCAGGGCTGTGGTTTGTGACCTCTGGGCTAGGCAACTTCCAAGGTTTTTTCCAGTGCAGAATATGATTCCTAGAGAAAAAAAAAAAAAAAAAATCACACATTAGTTTTCTTGCATAGAACCCTACAACCAGAGACCATCACCATATGGGGGGTTTTGCTTTCCGTTCTGCCTAGAAACCACGGCCTGCCGGCTTGCAGGGTCACGAAGAGCCACATCTCCTTCTGGGGGGCAGGGGTGGGGGCACTCGTGGCCTGGAGCTGAGGGTGCAGGGAGAGGACAGGGCGAGCCAAGCAGAACAGCCGTCTGTGAGTCATGGTCCCAGGACAACCAACAAATGGCATGACACCTACTCGCTCAGCCCCCGCCCGCACCTGCCAGCCTCACATGGTGGGGGGTGTTGGCCCCTGGACAGTCCGGGTAGGATCTGCCCACACTGACCACACTTCTAGAAGGAGGTGACAGATGTTAGCATCGATGGGTCCTGGGCCTACTTCCATACACAGACCTCAGGACATGAAAAATGGGGGTAAATGAAGGGTGCACGATTAGCCTCGGGCCCATGCTGGGTTCCTGTGGGTGCCAGAGACAGCTGCAACCACACGCCAGGGACAATGGCCCCGATGCAGCGGGAGCTGCCAGGCTGGGGTGCTGGGGGACAGCTGGACGAGGTGCCGACGGGCTCATTCCTCCGTGAAGCTGGTCCGCAGCTGCTGGGAGCGCGGCCAGCCACAGGCTTTGTGTGCCTGGATCCCGGGGGCTGTGCTGGCGCAGGCTGGGACAGCAGGGACAGGGTCCCACCTAGGGTAGCCTTGTCAGTGGGTCTCCAGGGAGGCAGCCCCGTCTTCAGCCTGTGCACTCTTGGGGAGCCCTGAGGAGCCACTCCCTCCCTCTCCACTCTCCCCCGCTTCTCAGCCTCTTCTGCCGCAGCATCGGCGGGCCGCCTTGGGGTGGCCGAGCCTCATTTCCGCTCCCTCAGGCCTCTCCCTAAGAGTTTTTGCTTGACCGGCCACGCTCAGGACACCCTCCTCCTCCCGCCTCGTGTTGGTGAGGGGCGCTCAGGCCGGAGCCCACGTGCCCGTGGCTGCAGTGGGCTGAGCTGCAGGGTGAAAGCGAGCTGTCTCAGGGACCCCAGCTGGCCCCTCTCCCGGCCGCTGCAGCTCTGTCTGGCTTTGCAGAGAATCCTCCGTTTCTAAGTGAAGCGCCTTCTTAGGGAATGAGACACATCTGTTTCCAAACGTCATTTTCAAACTGCTAGATGTTTCTTAATGTAGATGAAGCCGTGAGGGTAAATGGCACGGCGGATTCCGGTGGTCCTGAAACGCCAGCGCAGGGCTGTCTGCTGTCCTTCTGTTTCCATTTTACCTTTCTTGTTTTTTTTTTTTTTTTTTTTTTTTT